AGGCGCCGGCGCGGAGCGCCGTCCCTCCCGGCTGCGAAGGGCCGGGCGGGATGCGTGAGGGGAGCCCCGCGCCCGCATCAGTGAGGCCAGCGCGGCTGCGGGGTGAGGGAGAGCGGTGTGCGGGGCCGAGAGATCTGGCGCTGCGGGACGGGCTGCAGGAGACTCGAGCGCTTGCTCTCCCCTCGCTTATCTCTGCGTAACGCTGTTAAAAATACTAACAATGCAGAAAAAAATGTGTATAAAATACAGTAATGGATTGTGGGAAGGGTTAGTCATCAGTTGAAAAGTAATCTTTTGCAGTAATGTGACTTCTTATAAAGGAGAAGAACTTAAGAACATGTTACTGCATGTGTCTTACAAATCATAAAAGCTTTTCTCAAAAAGGTGGCATACTTTTGGTCTCTCAAAATGAACTTAAATCTTTAACTGTAACATCATATCTAGTTTGTAAACAGAATGAATGCGACTGGATTGGTCTGTGCAGATCTGCTGAGCTCATCAGCGCTGTCAGATGGGCAGCATGCGGGCTGCGTGTGTGTGTGTGTGTGTGCGTGCATATGTGCGCACGGCCGTGTGCACGGCGGTCTGGCAAGAACGATCCTCTTTTTCTAGGTCCTCAATACTGAGTGAAGTTTCTACCCGGTCAAGATCTAAATTGCCATCGGGCAAGAATATTCTCGTTTTTGGTAAGTAACATATGCAAGCAGTTGGGTGGTTGGGTTTTTTTTTTTGTAGAAACAAAGCGTGTTTAAAACAATGATGTGAACGAACTGACACGTCCGTTTGTTAAAATTAGGTTACGTTATATGATCTATGGTATTATTGTCTTCAGGCTGATGGTTTTACTTTCTTCTTGGCTTATGCTGTTAGATTTATAACATATTTAAACAAATTGAATGTAATACAGAATAATTAAGTGCTTCGTTCTTATTGTCATGGTATGAGCCATTGGATTTAGCTGGAATACTTGAAAGAAGACAAGAAACAAGTACGGTCCAAAAATGTACAAAGATACTTCTGGTTACTTAAGTGTGTTTTGAAAAATCTTTTCTACAAAGTTAGAATTAATTCTGAAAGTGTCTTTTTTTTCCTGTAAAAACTTACTGGCAGGTGATGATGGTTCAGGTAAAACCACACTTATGGCTAAAATACAGGGAGCAGAGCATGGCAAGAAAGGAAGAGGGCTGGAATACTTGTATCTAAATATTCATGATGAAGACAGAGACGGTAAGTTAATTTTTTATGTAACTTCTGTAATTAAGCAGCTGACATGCCTTTTTTATAACTGTGGTTTCATCAGTGTGCTTTGGTTTACGCCCAAGTAGCTGGTTCCAGCATTGTTCTGTGTGTTTTAGAAGCTATATCAATTTCTTAAAAGTGAAATGCATTTTACGTTCAGTGTACATTCTCCCTCTTGCCCTTCTTACGGCTTGACCTGTGTGTGAGGAAAAAGTACACCTGAGCAGCCTGCAGGATCCGTTTACTTTTAGGGTAGCTATATTTGCTGATGTTGATTTATTAGCAGGTATACTGTCATTTGGTATGACTGCTTGATAACTATAGAAAGTAAGTGATACATCCATGGGAATTTAATTCTCAGTATGGATTTCTGGGCATGGGGTTTTATTGTTTTCTTGTGGGGGCTGCGTGCGGCATTTTGGTTAACTGTAACTGAGATGTTTTGTTAGAGCTGAACGAGTGAAGAACAGAACTTAAAATCAGAATTAGCATTTCCTTTTCTCAAATAGGAGGTTGTCTCTTTGCCCCTTGTCTTTGTTGCTGTTGATGGTTGCTATTCTCTACTATATGGAAGGTCTAATGATTAGAATGCTCCTATTTTTAGGGAGGTTAGGGACAGGAAGAGATGGGGAGTGAGTTCATTATCCTTGCTCCTAAATCCGCCTCTGCTTGTCTCATTTTGGGCAAACTGCTGAATGTTTTTGTGTTAGTTTCCCTCTTCAAAAACGGGGAATGACAGTCTTCCTATTCATTACTTCCTTCTGAGTTTTCAGTTCAGAAAAGGGAAGCAATGATGGTGGTTCATCCATGTTCCTGAAAAAAATGAACTAGGAAGATCCTATAGTGGTATGTTGGAAATGGAAATGTACCGAAAGCTTGCATGAGTGATTAAGTACCATATGTGACTGGTTGTTATGGAGATTGGTCCTGTGCTCACGTGGTAATAAACTGTCTATGGATACTAAGTTAGGCACAATTAAAGGATGAGTACATTGCCTGTGCCTTCAGTGGCCACCTAATCTTGCAGTTCCTAAAAATCTTTTGTGCTGTAATGTTAAGTGCTGAGCCATTCTCGGCTTCTTGAGGTTCTTGGTGTAAGTGCTTTCTCACCGTGCACAATCTTCTTTAGTGCTGCGTAAATACTTTAGGGGGGGAAAAAAACCCCCTATGATTAGGAGTGTTAAGATAGCCTGTGACATCAGGCTGCTTCCAACATCAAAGGAGGTGGTATTATAAGCAGAAAAATGTTTGCTGTGCTATTTTTCCTGATGCTGTCTATCCAACCTCAAGTATGTCCCTACTTTGGAAATATTTTTGGGGCTATTCCTGAGTATCTGGAAGTGATAAGTATTTAAGCTGATTTGGAGAAGCCTGTCATAAGAACTCAGGCAGCATTAGCAGGGAAAAAAGAGACCTTTTTGACTATCGGACTCAGCTGGAGAATTCAGGTCTTCATGCATCCATTTAATGGATATGTTAGGATCTAATAATACATGCCTTTTTCCTTTCTGTCTCATTAGTGTCATCACCAAGCAAAATAAATAGCAAAGTGGGTCAGGACCTCCCAGCGGGCAAAGAGAACACTCTTCCTTCTCTAGGACAGGTTTGGGTTTGTTTCTTTAAGCTCTTTGCGTGCTTTAGATGTCTGTATGCTCAGATAGAGATTTAGGAACAAAGCCTTTATAACCCACAATTCTTGGAAGCCATAAAGAAACCTAAGATAGGCATGCAGGAGCTTGCTATCACATATTAATTTTTGAGGGTATCTGCTTTTTATTATACCCCAGCCTATTCAAGACCAGCAAAGCACAAGGATTTCCAGGGGTGTCAAATCAACACCGGTAACTGAAACTCTGTAGTGGAGTGAGAAGATCTTTTCAACTTCTTTCCCAGGTGCTAGAAGAGTTCTTTGCTCTCTTTGCCTTTTTCTTCTTCATTTCAGAAGAGCTTACTCTGTCCAGGAGAAATATTTGGTCATAGTGCTGAGTCATTATCTACCTCCCACCTCCCTTTGGAAATCTTAAGAAAAATCTTCTGTGTTGCTTCTTCTCCCCCCCTGCCTTCCTCCTTAAGGGATATTTGAATTTGGCTCCTCCTACATTTGAAGTAGAATAACTCTAGATTGCTAGGTGCATATCTTAGTTTACAGTTACTTTTGTCTTTTCACCTAAAGATTAGATCAGTGATTGAATTGTTCTTTTTTTATGGGAAAGTTAAACAAATGCATAGAGAACGCCTCTTTTTTGAAGAACCCCTGTGGCTAATACAGGTGCCCACTAGCTTTTTGGTTTTCACTGTCATCTGCTTGTTTCTTGGCAGCAGCTAATACCTAGCTTGGATGGCGAGATACACATCACCACTGCATTGGTAGTTAGCTGGTTCAGGTCTGTTAGATGTTAGTCGTTCAATTTAACACGCAGTGCTTTGGTCCCTAGGTCTCAGGATAACCTAGAACAAGTTCACTACTGAATCTCTACCTGAAAAATCTGCTTCCTAGCCTACTATCCCAAATTCTGCCTAGGCTAAGGCATTTGTTCAAGAAGAGGTTCGGGGATGTCTGAGAAGCCATCCTGAGAGAGAGAGAGGATTCTCCTAGATCATTAGCCCCAGGTACAATATCCTTGGAGCATATGGCTTCTTCTGCATACATGACACCATAGTTCATCTGGATGAAAGCACTTACAGCACTAGCTGTAAAGTTAGCTCCAAATATTAAATGACCTTGGAGCTCAGGCCCTAGAGTTCTCTGTTAGTGGAATTTCTCAGGGAGTGTGGCCAGTTTTAATTTTTTGCCTTTCTTTGTGATGAGCAGGTGTTTTGAGTCTATGCTGGTTAGTCTGCTTTTGAGAGCTGAGAATCTTAATTCGTAGGAGGTAGAAGAGAGGCTCTGCGTAATTTTGTTAAAGGATATTTATTTCTAGAGTAGCTTTTAGAGTCTCTTGCAGTGATGGGGCAGAGTTAAAGTGAGGACATACAGCAAGACAGTGAGACAAACTACATCGACTGGTTTTGCAGCGATACTGTGTGGGTTAGCTGGCCATTATAAACACCATAGAGAACTTTAGTTGAACTGCCTCAGATTACAAATGCAATACAGTTGTCCTGACTGTGCCAAACATGCCAGTGAAGTAGAGCCATTCTGTTGTTACGTTCTTACTTGCAACAAAATCAAGTGGTCTTGGTTTTTTGCCTCGGGTTTGGACTGGCCTCAGTCATATCATATGCATATTCCAGTTGAACTGGTTGTTCCAGATTGAACCAAGTGCCTCTGGTACACTGGTTTCTAATGGGAAAATTGTTTTTTTCGTCACCATCTTTAAAGCAGTTCTCTTGAAAATTGTATTTCCCTGTTCTGCTTCTCTTCACAGCTTGGATGAGGGATATCTAATTACCACTGATACCTTTTGAATAAATGGAGGAGATGTAGTTACACTTCACAGAATCAGCCATCTGCGGTAAAATTCACTAAAGCTGGAAAATCTTTTTCATGGCTAAAGGGATAATGAAATATTGACAGGATTTAGAAATGTAGTTTTAGGAGCTATTTTAATAGTCCTTAATAAGTAGCACCTGCTTTCCCAACATGATCTGGTAATTGTTTGCTCTGTTTTGGTGTCTCATGTCATAGCCACTGTGAAAGGTCCAGTTAACATTCACATCATATGACTAACTAGGAGCTTCGTGTGGTGCTGACAAGGTTGAATTTGCCATCAAGTCCTTGCCAAATTGTCGACAATTGGCAAGTACTGCATTTTTAAGTGTGTTTTATATTTGTAGCAAATGTAAATCACAAGCCATACCTCTTTAGTGTAAGAAAGGAGGAAAACCTTTCATTTTCATATGTTACCTTTTTTTAAAGTACATTTTAATGTGAGTGCTAGGCTTCCAGTCTTCCTAGCAGATTGATTTCGTTTGAGTGATAGTTCCAACTGCATTCTAGTTCCACCTCTATTCTAGTTCCAGTCTGTATTCTAGATGTTAAGCAGAAACTAAATCCTTAAGTAGGACAAAGGTGTTTAGCAAACAAAACCTTTGTAACCTTTAGATATTGGCTTAAAAAAGTGACTTGGAAGCAGTGAATTAGGATGTTTATTAATTTTTGTTAGTTGCGAAGGTGTGAAAGTCTTTTCTGCGGTCAAAGCACTCACCACAGGAGAAACTATGAAAGTGCTGATGAGAGTTGTAAACTTCCATAGACTATAGGTAGACTTACGTTAGGTTTTTAAAACTTTCGTATTTGCTACAAGGAGGCAGTTGTGCATAGACATAGTTAACGTCTATTAATAACCTTTCACTCGTAGAAAGCTCACAGGGTTTTTATTCACTGGTGGATTTCTGCTTTTGGGAATATACAAAGGGTGCTTCTGGAAGGCAGAGGATGAGAGTCCTGCATTGATGTTTCATTTACTGTAGTGTAATAGTAAGCATGTATTTGTGTTCACATTATGTCCTAGCTTCCTTCCTGTTTTTCCAAACTTTTACCAGGCTTCCCCTCTGTCCTTAGGCGTCTTCCAATAGCTTTAGATTCGTACATCCAGTGCTGTGAGAATCCTGTGTGATTTCAGTGAGATGGTTTCCTGGAGGGGAAGGAGGGGGGAAACAGTGAATATGCAAAAGTGCATTTCATAGATACACAACGGTTACCGTAACTGTTCAGTGCAAAGGATAGACCTGAGATGCACAGTTGGAAGTGAGAAGATGTTTAAGTTAAAAGTGTAGCTGTTGGCCTGTTTGTGTGATGACTGATGGTTGAATGTCTTATGACAGCCTAACAGTACTTAAGTAGGAGCATAACAAATGCTAAGACTGCCCACGTATACCATCTTGATGTAATCTGTCTGTAACTTGGCTGTTCAGTAATTTTATCCGAGACCTGATTAGAAGGGTAGTATGTGTATTTCTGCTCTTTTCTCCTTCCAATTTCCTTAGTCAAGTTTTTGCCTTTTTCTAGAGCCAGTGTTTTTGATCCTGATGAATTCTTTCTTAAAGTTATGATAGCCACAGCAACTGGATTTATTTTGTGAAGTGAAAAGATTTGGAGCACAGGGTAGGGAAATATAGTGAGGCAGAATAATTATGAAGCTCAGTAGCTGTTTTGAAAATCTGGGCTCTACAGTGATTGGTTTGCTGATCCATGTATTTCAGAATTCCCGTATCTTGCATGTAATACCTATGGAGACCTACTGTTCCCTCTGGAGAGCTGTAGTAGAATAGGGAATATTTTGGAAGAGGTACTAGGAAGAGTCTAGAAGATAGAAACAAATGGAGTTGTTCCCTTTCAGGAGGAAGTTCTGAGGATAATGTAATTTTTTTCTTTTTTTTTTTAATTTGGAGAGAAATGGTTGTTCAGAGTACCTGATACATCATTCCTAGATGATGCTTCATTTTCAATTTCTTCTATTCTTGACAGAGTTAATGTTTGGAGTAAAACTTCTCATGCCAGCTATCTGTCACAACTGATTTCTGTGCCCCTCCCCCTTGCATTTCAACAAAAAATGTCCAGTCACTGTCAAAACACGGGGGTGGGATGGGGGAAAAAGACAGATACTAAAATACCAAATCTTTTGTCCAGTACTCGTTCTGTAAGAAGCCTGCAAGTAGGAGCCAGTGTTAAGTCGGTGTGAACTAAGAGCAGGTAGCACAACTTTAAAGTTTGGTAGGTTGTAAGTTTATCCTGTGTTTGCTCTTCCTACTCCTGTGCTAGAAACTTAAGCTGCTTATTGCTTGTATCTTGTTTGCAGCTTATTTCTGTTGTGAGTTGTCTTTAGTATGTTAAACCAGCTTATGTGTCTGAGGGACACCTCAGGCATCCTTACTGGACTCAGCTATAACTACCCCTTTTTGAACTTGGAGTTACATATGTGTCACATGTATTTTGGTTTTAGTTGGAAGATACGTATTTCAAATTCAGCAATGCTGTGCAGTATTTAAAAACTGTTGTGTCAGCTGCCCTTAGTAAAAGCGAAAGAACAGAAATTATTTTTTAAATGAAAAGATTCTGAACCAAGAAAAAATCCTGTTCAGTGAAAGCATCTACCAAGTAAAGTATGCATTTACACATGCACATTTACACATGCTAAAAATAAACAGGCAAGATCTGCTGGTAGCTGGGCTTTGGTCTTTGATTTAACACTAATGTTCTCATCTGTGTACTTGTAGGCTAGCAAAGCAAAAAGTCAGCATCTGTTGAGTGACAACTGTACCTTTTCCTTTCAGATCACACTCGCTGTAACGTTTGGATTCTGGATGGAGACTTATACCATAAAGGGCTATTGAAGTTTGCAGTTTCTGCAGAATCCCTGCAAGACACCATTGTAGTCTTTGTTGCAGATATGTCTAGACCTTGGACTGTTATGGAGTCTTTACAGAAATGGGCCAGTGTCTTGCAAGAACATATTGATAAGATGAAAATTCCTCCAGAAGAGATGAGAGACATGGAACAGAAGTGTAAGTCTTTGTGCATCTTTGCGCATCCGTACATTCTTGTCCTTTTTTTTTTTTTACTAGCTCTTGCAACTTTCTTTTGTAATGATAAATTTCTTCAGATTAGTGTTTTGAGAATGGGTTAGATAAGAATTACTTTGAAGTTGTGATTACAACTCTAATTCAAATAGACTCTATTAGGCTTTAAAACAAGTCTTCTGGTTTTGCTGTGCTTACAAAAGATCAGGGGAATCACTGGTCTAAATCCCTCACAATAATGAGATTTTGTTACTTTGATTTTTAAAAAAGCCAGTTTTTAAAAAACTTAACTCCATACAGAATCACATTTTTAAAAATAGTGACAAAATTCAGTAACGGGAAGTGAGCTGTCTGCTTTCCTGTGGTATCTAAGCCAGGTCCCATTCCCATACTGTGTTTGTCTTCCAGTAGGTGTCTCTGCTCTTGTTTTTCACGAAGCTCAGACTGCGATCCTGGTACATCTAGTTGTCTCACTACAGCCATTCCTACCCTGTGACTTTAGGAATGTTGTATAAATTAACTTTCTTTCCTGGTCTATCTGTGGCAGGAAAGAATCTGGCACTGGCAAGTAGTCATTGCTGCAGTGTTGTTTCCTGCAGCTTCTTTTCTTTCCTAAAATAATTTTGAATGTTTCTTGAGTTTTTTCTGTTTTCATATTGAATTACTCCAAAATAAATTCCTTCAGTGGAAAAGACCTTAGCAACATGCATTCCTTCTCAGCTGAAGCATAGATTCAGACTGATCCTTGCTGCTTGCTGCTTTTGTTCAGGGCTGGTGGCTAGCTGTACTGGAGTGTTTAAACCTTGCAAATACTGTCTAGTGGCTTCTTTAGAGTTACTTTAGGGAGCAGTGTAATCTGTTTGGCATGTGAGCATTCAGATGTATTTGTATAGCTGATCTCCTTTCTGAATGTTAAATATTACTTTCCCCAAAGGCTTGTGCCTACAGCATACTAGCTAGAGTTTAAACTTAATGACTGAAACCACTTGGGTTTGATCACCAGGTTATATTAAAAAAAAAAAAGTAAAATCCAACAATTTTTAAGGGAAAAATTTTTGGGTTTTTTTTTTTTTTAATGTGTGAAGAGATTTGGGAATGGGAGATGGAAAGGCAGTTTGAGTCTCACAATACAGCAGCTAACCCGATTTGCACTTTTCTGAGACAAACCAAATTTTATGGCAATCCAAATAAATGTGGAGTTTGTGCACTTAAATTTTACTTTTCAGCCTTCACTAAGAATGTACTGTGTGGAGGAGCCAGTTACAGCTGTGGCAAAGCTTTAGCACTGCATTTGGGGAACTTGGAAGACGTTGTCTTAGAGATTTCTAAATTGAAGTATCATAGAGTTTCTCTTGCGCTTTAATAGAGTCGAGGGAAAAGGAAAATTTGAGAGCTGCCCAATTCACACGCTTGCAGGACTCTGCTGCCATCCTATGGCTGAGCGGTGAACTTCGGTCCAGTGTCAGCATGCAGGTGAAACAGGGGCCTTAAGGGCTCCACTCCCAAGCTTCCATCTCTCTCCTTTTCTCAGTCACTGTGTAGGATGCTTGTTTCATCTCAGATACTTGTCTTCTGAGTTCTTGCAGACTGTCCCTAAGGGCAGATCTGAGCTCAAAACTTTGGCCACCATAGTTTGTAATTCTCTTAATAGTGAATCGTGCTAAAAGAAATACCTATTATAGCTGTGGCTATATTAGTGTAACTGGTTAGACAATACAGAGCACACGTGCCTGAAGAATCCCTTGTGACTGCAGTCCATCAATAAAGCTACACCAGCAAAGTCTTCCTTACTAACATCCTGCATATGCTTCCCAAGATAAGTTGCCATGTAGAAAATGGAGAATCACTGTGTTAAAATAGCCCAGATAGATATGAAAAAACTGGGATAACAAAGCATGTATGCAAAGCAGGCAGTCTAAACATAGAAACAGGGTGCAGAGTGAAGAGATGTGCTAAATTCATTCCAGTAAAGCCCCACTGCAGCGTAACGCCACATGGATGTATATGTTTCTTGACTTCAGCTTGTAGAAGCAAATTCCCTTATGCTTGCTTCTAGATGTCAGCCAGGGCATGTGGATCAAGCTGAATGTCCGCCCTGCTTTCCCTAGCTATTACACGCACTACCAGTAACCAGTAGCTCTTGTTGACTCTGGGGAAGCATTTTCTAGTATAATCCCATTAGCATCCGTTTGAAGCGCTGCTAGTTTGTTCTTCCTCCATTGCTAGATCGTATTACCAATTTCCAGAAATCCTTTTCTTAGCTCGCCATTCTCAATGGAATTGAACTTTGGACTGCCTGTCTTTGCTTTCAAGGTTTTGGTGGCCTTTCTCTACCCAGCCTTTTGTCTTGTATTTGCTATTTGAGATACTGACTCCTGGCTTTACTGGGTGGGTGACCCTAGGCTCCATCTGGTATATGAGAAGCTTTCCTTTTGTGTTGAAGAGCTTCCAGAATGGGGGGCAGGACACACACACGGAAGCAACAGACTGCCTTGAAAGAAATTGAATTATTCAGAATATACCGAGAGCATTGTTTGTCTGCACTCACTCCTATCACTGAGCTGCTCTGAAAATTCCTTGCTAAAAGCTTGGCTAATGTGGATTCAGATAAATAATGTCAGTTCAAATGTTCTAATTTAATTCAGGCTCAATTATGATAAATCATTGTTTAAATAACACACATTTGAATAATTATTTCAGGGAAGATCTAAATTTTGCCTCCCTGTTTATGACAGCAAAACAGAAAAGACGACTGTCAAGAATCAAGAAATGCAGGAAGGAAGTATACTGGTAAAATGGCTATTATATTAATGTCCTCTGGAGCGTTTGAAGCTAAAGACTTGAAATACAGTAACATATTTTTCAGAAAAATAAGTAGTGTCCTGTTCAAGCTGAATTAGTTTCAGGTTCTCTGCCTTTTCTTCTTTCTTTTTTCTTTTTTTTTTGTCTGACATAGAGCTGAAAGAATTCTTAAGCTAAAAGATAAGAGACTCACTTTGCCCAGACATCTTTTGTCTAGAAATTCTTTTCACAAGACTAAAGTTTATGATCAGTAAAGATAGTGCACAAAAAAGCTAAAAGCTGCATGAACTGATTGTGAAGCTTTTAGAGTGTAAATATGGAATGATGGTCTCAAATTTTTTCTGCGTTTTTCTTGTTGTGCTGTTCAGTGCTTTTGTGATCTATCTAGTTAAGTAAGCTGTAGCGTTTGTCTGCCATTTCCATACTGCACTTAAACAGTACTACAAGACTGAGGATTTTATTGTTACTGGAACAGCCAAACCTAAGAATAATAGTGGATTGCTTTCTTGGTGGCACTTTGAGTCAATTGCTCCCCTGACATGAATCTGTTCTTGTTATAGTTAGCTTTCAGTAGCTTGTGTAAATAAGCAGCAACATAAGAAAAAATTAACTGGAAACTTGCATTTGTTTGCTGTGTTAAATGCAAAAGTCGAAATAAAAGGCTTTTTACCTAGATAAGCCACAAGTTTGGTAGATAAATTAGCACGCTGTAGCGGAGATGTGATTTTTATGGCATATTATCACCTGCTGATAATTTTTCAAATGTAGTAGGTCATTCCTAGTATTTGACCTTACTGATAGGTAGCAAAATATTACTGATTTGTCAGATGGACGGTTGTTTTTCTGGCTTCCTATTCTATGTGCGTCGTCTTATCTGTATTTCTCGTTCAAAAAAATTTAAGCCAAAGTCATTTTCCCCTCCTTCTTAATAAAGAAAAGAGTTATTTCCCATATCGTATGGAATGTGATTCCTTAATACGAATTATGTGGAGGAGAAAATATTCATAGCTTGCTAGAAAAAAGGAAAAAGAGAAGATTTATGCAAGCTGTGCATGATCAGCTTTATGTCCATTAAAAGTTTGAGAGTGGAGATCAGGTGAGAAAAAGATATGGGAGGTAAGGAAAAAGTATTAAATTTCTGTGTGACGAGGAAACACTTTAACTGAAGTGAGCTTCTTAGCTGCTTAGAATGCAGCTTGTTCATAAGGGGTGGTCTGACAGCACTTGTGGTACAGATTTACTTTGGATTTCACAAGACTGAATTTTGAATGGGAATGGGAGTTGAATGAGAGTCTTTAAAAAATGTTGAAGAGCCTGTCCCTAACAGGGCTTTAAACCGCTCTAATTCAGAAACCAGTGTATCTGCGTTCAGGATAAAGTAGTTGCAGGTTCTTAGTATAGCTTTTACCTTCTTCTAACTCTAGTAGTTACTTGTTCAACAGACCTTGTTAACTAAAGCTGAGTGTATTCTGTAGCATTTCACAGTCTCTATCAGGGATTAATGCCAGACCATACGCGTTATTAACAATGCACAACAACAGTTTATCTCCACAGTGAAGTGTTTTCTCCCTCCATGCATGGATCAACCAGAGTGAGATACGGCCTTGTTGACCGCTGGTCTGTGATGGATGGTGTTGGTACTGCTTACTCTTGGGGAGAGGGAAGAGTTGGGAATCTTGGCTCTCTAGGATTATGGCCTTCGTTCCCATTCAGCAGAAATTCATGAGGATGTGCTGTCAGATTTCTTAAGTTTCTATGTTGCATTTGCTATTATTTATATTAGTAAAATTCATGGGGTATCTTGAATAATGATTTGTATCGTGTTGTCAGAGTCTTACTGTTTTCAAGAGAGGCTTTTCTTTCCCAGATTTGAGGGGGTTTATACTAATAGATATCTCAATAAAGAAAAGATTTTCCTGCTTTAATATGAACAAAACCTAGGAAACTAGTATTGTCTGATTATAAAGCTGTAGTAAATTGAGAGCAGTATTGTCAAATATTCTTTTACATCTGATTAAGTCGGAGAGGCTTATCTGAATGATTGTAGTGGATGTAAATGGTATTCTTTTAACTGCTGTAATACACTTGTCTTCAATAGTTCTTTTTCTATCCTGAGGTAGGAAGAGTCTGAGTAATGACATAAGTACTTTTTTAAAGCTCTTTTCTAGAATGCTCTAGAATTAATTTGCTTTCTGTGAGATAGTCAATAAACTAATATGCAGAATGTACGATGGAATTTTGATTTCCAGTTGCTGAATATGAAGCAGTACTAGAGGAAAGCATCCCTTTGAAAGCATTATTGTTTCCTCTCCACCAGAAGGCACTGCCTCCCCAAGTTTAAAAGCAACTGCATTCGATTTTTTTTTTTTCCTTTGGACCTTGGGACATACTGACTTGGTGATTGGAAGTCTTATGGTCTATATTTAATGTGGGTTTTTTAAGCTTTTCTCTGCACTAGAGCTCTCTTGTTTGCCACAAGAATCACACAATTTTATATTTCAAATAAAAATTGTAGACTGTGCAGCTTTGAACAGAAGTGTTTTTCTGATTTGTTCTTCCTTCCACATGCCCATTCTATTGCAGGTATGGTTCCTATTTTGAAAAGGTACAGTGACTTTATTTTGCAAGATTTGTATTATAAACTTTGAGGTTTTACCACTTCCTAAACCTCAGAAGTATCAGATGGCCTGCAGTACAGTTGCATTCCCTTCCCTGTCACATGGGTGGATGTACTGAACAACACTCTTTGGGAGGCTTTTGAAAAGTTTTCCTTACTGTACATACAGTCAGCCTGCTCCCACTGTTTGTAGAATAAAGATGCCTTCATGGGAGCAAATCATGGAGCTTTGCTTGTCTCTTTCCTGAGGGCTTCTCATGGCTGAGCAAGGAGGATGCTTCAGGTGGGATTGTCATGTGAGGGAGAGCCCCGGGCCTTTGGGAAGCGCTGTGCCTGGGAGCAGACACATCCAGTAGGCAGATTTATCTGGTCTGTGGCTTTTTTCCTGAAAAAAAAGACATAAAAACTGTAAGTCGCAGCCCAGTTTTGATAAAGCATGCGTGGGGTCACAGTGCGCTTCCAAAATGGTGTTAATACTATTTCTTAGGCACTTCAGTATTTGATAATATTTGATATTATTGGAACACTCATCGTTGCCGTAAAATTAAAACATTGAAAACACAGAAAGCATTTAGTTTCCTCTGGGCCGTTGTAGTTTTCCTGAATATAACTGAGTCTCTTCAGATAATATTTAGAAGTCTTTGAGTCTGTATTTATGCAGTGTATTTTTTATATTCCTAGCATATATATATATATTTCTGACTCCCGCAACAGAAATGTAGAGTAATAGAAACTTGAGTAATAGTTTATAAGAAAGAGTGGCTGTTTCAGCTTGGTGTTTTCTGTGTCCATTTGCATTTTCACCATGCTTTCTTCCAAAACTAGGTACAAATTGCAGTGAGTATAGGCTACGTTGTTATACTACATTTACGTTTTTTGTTGTCAGCTCCCCTACAATGAAATGCATTGAATTGAGGAATGTGCATTTGTGCATACTATAGCTCTTGCAGCTAGTTTTGATTATTTGTCATGGCTCCAAATTGCACTCAATTTAGCTTGTTGTAAATTTTGGTGGAGAATTGTTGTGTTTGAAGGGGCAACAAGGCTTAAGCTTGCATTCTGTTCTCATGTAGTGCCTCATTATAAAAGGAAAAAAAAAAATTGAGATTTCTTGTTAGTCATAGATTAATTATGGTTTAAAAAGAACAACTAGTTCCTTTGTTTTACCTTAAGAAGATCTCTCTCTTGATAGTTATAAAGGAGTTTCAAGAGTATGTAGAACCTGAAGAAGGCTACCAAGGATCACCGCAGAGAAGAGGCCCTTCTTCTGGCCAAGAGGATGAACATGTTTCTTTGCCACTTGGAGAAAACGTGCTGACTCACAACCTTGGTATTCCTGTGCTGGTAGTTTGTACAAAAGTGAGTTTCTAATTCTGTTTGCTACTACGGAAAAGTTTAATTACTTTTCTTTTAGAAGGCATGCTTTATACAGACGTGCAAAATGAATTCTGGATTAATAGTAAAGGGGTTTATTTTAAAAGTAAGCTTCTGCCATCAGTGTAAATTTTTAATTTTGCAGAAAGGTAATAACCTTGTCAATTATATGTTAAATTACTTTATGTTTTGATTTATTGGTGGCATTTTAAAACCAAAGGCTCAAAGTAAATGTGATGTGTGTGTGTAATAATAAGGAAGATGTTGGGATTAAACAACTGGGTTTTTCTGGTTTTGTTTTTCTCCCTTTCTTCCAGTGCGATGCAGTGAGTGTACTAGAGAAAGAGCATGACTACAGAGAAGAACACTTTGACTTCATTCAGTCACACATTCGTAGATTCTGCTTACAGTGTATCCTTTCCTGTGCTGAGGGGATTTGCTGTAACCTGGAAGCAAGAAAATACGTTTTAGTGTTGAATTGCACATAAGGTTAATCTGAGAAATTCCACTTCAGGATTGCTTGCTATTTAGTTATTTACTATGTAGCGTTTGTTGTTTTGAGAATGTTGAGAGATGTATAAAACTTTTTATAATTTTAAAATTGTGCATGGGATTTGGAGCTTTTGTTCCTTTACAGAGGATTTGTCTTGCGTTTTCTGAGGTGGTTTTTCTTGGTTTTCCCCTCAGAACTTGCAGTTTCCATATAAACCTGAGCTGTCTCTTAAGTTTTTGACTTTTTCAAAGTTAAGTGCCTGGGAGGGTAGGTAACTTTTGTGTATGTCAACGAAAAGTATCATGAGTCTTCTCCTGTTATACCCTCTTCCTCTCCCTGACTACTAAATGGCTGTAGCTTTTGCCTTGAACTACTTCTCAAAATTAGGTCTAGTAATTATATGTGCATTAGCTCCTGTTTTGAAATTCTTACTGTAACTTAAAAACTATACCTTACATAATTTTCCTTAAATAAATAATCAGATGGGGCTGCCTTGATTTATACATCAGTTAAGGAGGAAAAGAACCTTGATCTGTTGTATAAGTACATTGTACATAAAACATACGGTTTTCAGTTTACCACACCTGCCTTAGTGGTAGAAAAGGATGCAGTTTTTATGTAAGTCAATTGTATAAGCAGCATGGTTTCAGATTGCTTTCTGTTAAGCACTACACTTCATGTAACATATATATATAAAAATAACTTGACTGGTTTGTGTCATTCAAAAGCTCAGTATGTGAGTATTCTAAAATCCTGAATTAAAAAAACAATGTAGTGCATATTACTTGGGTTACTCAGCTCAGAGTATATCATTCCAGCTTTTTAGTATCTTTGGAATTTAGCTGAGAATTAGGATTGACCTATAATAAAATTGCTGTATTCAGGTAGAGGGCAGTAAATAAATGGTCTCTGTAGAAGTGCTTTTTGTGACTGAAAAGGCAAAGCTTTCCTTCTTTTTATAGACCTGCTGGTTGGGACAATGAAAAGAAAATTGCCATTTTACATGAAAACTTCACAACAGTGAAACCAGAAGATGCATATGAGGACTTCATTGTAAAACCTCCTGTAAGAAAGGTAAAAAGGGATAAACTCTTCCCTGCCCCCCCAACAAATAGGTGCAGTTTGCTTGAATGGCTACTAATAACTATTAATACTGAAGAACTCAAAACCTAAATGTAATTTTTTTTGTATTCAAATGTGTGAAACATCAGGCTTTCATTTTCTGGTTGTTTAAAATACTGCAAGCAATCACAGAAATCATTCACCTTAGTAAATGAAAAGGCAGTCCAAAAATAACGGTTTCACAAAAACGTTTTTGCATGTGTGGGATAAACCCACTTTTTGAAAATGGAGAATACTGTTGTAGGACTTCAACAATTTACATGTATACACACATGGCATTGAGGTTACCATATAAAGGCAAATCTCGTAAAACAAGACAGTATATCACTATTGCATTAACATATTATTAATGACAGATTTCTTCATGTAAGGCAAAAGCAGTAAATAAGTGATATAAATTCTGTGTATTGCTAATTTTGTGAGTATAGGTGCACAGGAATAGGATATCTGTAAAATGGATAGTATGGAAAATTGTAAATGAAAATGTATTCTGATCTGTATTGGAAAGCTTCTTTTACAACTTTCTTACATGCTTAACGTTTCTAGCTCAAGCCCCAGTATTTGGAAAAGGGAAGAGCTGTTTGAAAATTTCATGTAAGGGAAAGGTTTAATCCTGTTGTTTGTAACTCATGGCACCTATGGGAAATAATTATTGCCTAATAGGAGTGTTATGACTGATAAGAGCTAGCGTAATGTTTCTGGGGGCTGAGGGATTGAGTTTGGGGTCTTCTGGAGTAAGGTAATCTCAGGTCTTTGAAGAGATGCTGATGAGATTAATACCTAAACTTAAAAAGGTGAATGTGGCTACTTACCAAGTGCTCATCTTTCTAGGAGAATACCCACAGGCTAGTCTACTCCATTCACTTACAATTTTTTTTTTTTTTAATGACAACTTCTTTAATGTTACTACTCTTTTAAATGTGAAAGATTTTTTTTTTTTAAAAAACAGTAAAGAATGTTATTAAACATTTGCCTCTTTTTCTTCTCTTTAGGTCACCAAAACATAAAAAACAGTTACAGTAATTTCAGTTTTTACTTCTAATAACAAAATATTTTGTTCAACAGTTAGTCCATGATAAAGAACTGGCAGCAGAAGATGAACAAGTATTTCTTATGAAACAGCAGGTAAGAATGGAAGTATGAAAATAAGTCCTTACTATATAAGATTTTGGTTTAAGCTCTCCATTGTTACTACCTTCAGTTTTTCATTCTTCATTTAAATCACTAGATACCCACTTTTCAGCTTTCAAATTCAGATGTAATTGTGAAATAAGACTTTTCTTTATTTTAACAAATACGAGTAGAAAATATGGCCACTTATCTTGGCAAGTTGAAAGGAAAATATGCTGAGAACAGAAATAATTTGCATTTCAGAGGAGAAGAGCAAGAAGATAATTTGAAATTTCACAACATAGATGTATTGATCTGTAAAATATAAATATTTTTGAAACATGATATCTTAGTGTTGCTGTTTTCTTACAGCCAGAGGCTTGAAAGACTTTAAGGTGTCCAGTTTGGCTGTGCTGTATCTTCTTGTTTTCTTCACTGCTCTGTTGTTTAAAAAAAACTAGTAATACTTTCCTATATAGTTGATTATAAGTATCATAGAGGTTACAGACTTGGGTGTCTATGGTTATGGCTTGTAGTTCGGGAACAGCTGTGTAAGACAAAGGACTGAAGCTTATTTACTCATTTTAACCCTGTCATCTAGTGGTAAAGTCTGGAAGTATATAAGAGGAAGCCTGTAAATATTGGGGAAAAAAAAATTATCAAATAAATTAATGGTTAGTCACCTTCACTGTATTTTATTCCTTTATATTTTCTGAAATATATTTAATATTAATATGCTCTTTTTGCAGTCATTCCTTGCCAAACAGCCAGCAACGCCTACAAGAGCATCGGTAAGTAGATCCAAGAGAAGAGTAGGAGGTGTTTTGTTTCCTTCTAGGGAGGAGGGAATGATTCTAACATGGAGAGGTTCATTTTGTAAATGTAAATGTAAAATACATACTTTCTGCAGTTTGGGGAGATTGAATTAAAAAAGAAGTGCCAAAATTTTACAATGTGGCTTATAAAGTACTTCATTCTAATTCACTGTGGAAACATAGAAATATCTGATGATTATTGAACTGAAAATTTCCTACAGCGATTCATCCTTTCTCTTTGTGGAGGCACATGCCCCAAATAACTGGTGGTGTGTTGTTTTGGTGTGTTGTTTGGTTTTTTTTTTTCTCCCCCCCTGTGTGCATACACTACAGTGCTAATATGAAGGTTTGAAAAGTAATTTGTATGTAATGTTACATTTGCTTTATATAACTAATCCATTTAAGTTCTTTGATTGGTGTGATTTGGACTTTTTTTAAGGAATCTCCTGCAAGAGGCCCTGCAGGATCCCCAAGAACTCAAGGCAGAGCTGGTCCCGCTAGTGTACCCAGTGCCTCACCAATAACATCAGTTAAGAAACCAGATCCAAATATTAAAAGTATGAATAAGCATTTTACTGTTTTTATCATGTGTTATTTCCCTCAAAAAAAAAAATCCTCTCTTGTACAAGATTTTGGAATTTATTCACTAACTGTATAGTTAGTTTAATAACACAAATGAATTTATGACATAGCTTCACGTTTTATTTTCTTTTTTTTGAGTCATTCATATGACTTGGAGTTCTGCTATTGCCAAGCAGTCAGTCAGAGTTCAAATACATTATTTCCTTAAGTTGCCTAAATACATTTATTATGCATCAGTTGGATGATTAGAGTGGGGACTGCTTTAAGGTATATGCAGTTTTATACTTCGTATTGCTTATTCTGGACTCCACGACGTCTCCAGAACGTCATTGTCTGACATTGTACATGAAGTAACTTGGAAATTACACCCTTTCCCCTCCCTCAGCCCTAAGAGGGAGCTCCATGTTGTTGAGTGGTTTCTTTCCTCTCTGTGCATTAGGAAAGTTGGTAGGGCCAGTATTGTTTTTAATTATGCGCTGTGGTGTCATACCTTGCTTACAGTGGATAAAGTACTCAGGCAGTTCTGGATCATATCTCATTGCTGTATATCCAAATTCTGATTTATGAAAAGTAGCGTGGCATGAAAGACTGCACTAAAACATCTATGCGGTTTGTTAATGGACTTATAAATCTTTGAATTGCACATCCATACTTCATGCTTTGTTTCTTGGCTTCTACAGTTAGAAAAAAAGGAAAAGCATACAAATATTTAGATTAAAATTTTGTGACATGCCCCCACCCCGTTCCAGAAAAGTGGTGATATGCTTTCAGTCGTCTCTGCCAAAGAATGCAAAGGACTAGTGTCTTTAAATTGAGCAAAGAGAGACTCTCTCATATTTGAGGTTTATTTCCTTGATTGGTAAGAGAGTTATATATATATGTTAAAAAATAAGTTCTATCATTTACCAGCAATAACTATTCTTTGATATATATATATATATATATTTGTTTTTTATTTAGATAATGCTGCAAGTGAAGGTGTCTTGGCTAGTTTCTTTAACAGCCTCTTGAGCAAAAAGACTGGCTCTCCTGGGAGTCCTGGTGCTGGAGCAGTGCAAAGTACAGCCAAGAAATCAGGTATTGGGCTTGTTATTGCAAGCTGTTTTGCATATTTTTAATGTTTTATTTGGCCCACATTGGCCTAACTGCGTGTATCTTTTAAACTGGTCAGTAAAGTGACAGACCTTGACAGATGACAGTGCCAAACTGTGCAATCTTTAAAAAAGAACTGAACTACTGCAACTTCACAACTCCAGGGCTTCTATTAACCCTGTCATAACTTGATTCTTTGAGTGAAGTTATACTGCTGGGATATAAATAACATTTCAGTCTTGATCATATTCAGAAAGTGCTGGTTTTCTTTTTTTTAACTTCAGAATTCCTTTCTTGACACTTACCTGTTTTTTGAAGGAAATGGAGTTTATTGGGCTTGGACTGTAGTCGCTAGTCAAACTATTGAAATCTCTCCAGAGTTCAAGTTTAAATGAATTACTACTTATGACAGCTTGATGTTATTCTCTCGTTTAATTTAGTATTTTTTGTGATCCAGCACAACTGATAACACTGATCACGTAGATTCGTTCTGTGTATGTGCCTATGACTGCATTGTATGAGATGTTTGTTGATACGTAGTTGCATTAGTTTGGGTGAAGACAAAAGAAACCTGTCAGAATACTTGGTACCTGTACAAAACTCAGTGTTATAAACCATGTGGTTGTTCCACCCAATATTAGAAATGTACTACTTAGATTATTTAACTGTGTCTTTTTGGTATTGGTGTTCCCATCACACTTAGGTTCAGGAGCTTTCCTTCCGGAATTATTTCAGTACTAAATTATTGATAGATATTCTACTTCTGATCCCAGACTTGTGAAATCATGTGAAATTTAATGGTGATGCCAAACCCAGGGTTTCTGATGCTTAGAGGAGTGTGTAAGCCCCAGATACTCTAAATTGGAAATGAAAAATATTTGATGCCAGCCACAGTGATGATACTGCCAGTAAGAGAACCAGAGCAGTTATTGGAGTGTGGGTATTTGAACTGAAACTATTCGTGGAGAGGTGAAGTAAGGATTTTTTTTTTTTTTTACATTGGTAAGGGTTTTATATGACATTCCATGCTCTGAAAGCTCAAAAATGGCTAGAATTTGACTTACAGCAAGTCAGTATTTTGTTGGGGTTTTCTTTTGTTTTAGCATGATGAATTCTGTAATTTATCTTTATTAAATTTTATTTATTAGAAAGATAACAATACAAGAATTATTTGTATTATTTACATAATATTACTGTACCTACATTATAAAAATATTTAATTAATTCTTTCCTAATCCAGAATGCCCTCTTCAGTTAAACACTGAAAGGTGTCCCCTGCTTCATCAAGCGCAGCATCATGCTATTACTGACCACAATGTCAAATTAACTGTTTTTATAGAAAGAGGACTAGAAATAATTTTTAGGGATCATTTCATCCGTGCTCTTTATCTAAAGCAGAATCAGTTAGGGAGTTCCTGGCTAGTGATGAAAAAGTAAACAAACTCTGAAATAAAAGATGTAATGTCATCTCTCCAGGAAGCCTGTTCCAGTACTTAATTTCTTGGTTATTTTTGCTCTTGTACAGTCAGTATTTCTTAATCCCAGTACTATTTGTCTTGTTCGAGTGGAGACAGAGATCAGTGTAGCCCCTTTGTCTTTGCAGCAATCTTTTGCATATTTGACAGCTATTACCCTTTTGCATCTGACTTTTGTCTGGGCTACAAAAATACACTTCTGTCGGCCTTTCCTCACAGCACATGTTTTTTATGGCTCTGATAATTCTTACTGTTCTCCTTTGGACTGCCTGCTCTGATGACCTGTTTCTTTTGGTGCTCAGAAATGAATGCGGTACTTCAGACAAGGCTTTGGCTGCCCTAAGTAGGGGTTACTTAATCTGTGTTATGTATTGTGATTCTATTTAGATGTCTCAGCATGATGCTATGTTTTTTTCATCTGTATGATATTAATCGGGATTTCTTGTAACAGTACAGCCAGCTTAATACAATTTCTGCCTCCTAGTAGGACGTTTTCTAGTCTTACCAAATGACCTTAGTATTTCCAAAGGTTGTATGTTTGCTTTTAACATTATTTTCCATTCTGTTACTGTGCACCACTTTGATAATTTATATAAATAACTTTTTACCTCCAATCCTGTCTTTCAAAATCCTTTGTAGTCCCTTCAAGCACGCTTGCCTATGTGTCTGATATCTTCAACAGCTGGACAGGGTCGATTGCTGAATAAAAATATTGACTAGTACTATGGATAACTAATGGGTAATTTTATTAATTACAATACATTTTTCTGAAATATCAAGACTGTTTTTTTTCTAATTTATTTATATAAGGGTTACGTGAGATGTGATATCAACCACTTCTCCCTTCTCCACAGGGCCTGTTACCCTATCATAGAAAGAAATTTGGTTGGCTTGACACAACTTGTTGGTAACAGTTCCGTGTTGATTGTTGTGCTGGTAGGCTGTTTGTAAGCATCTAAAACATAATTGCAATTTCTGGAAAAAATACTAGAGTAAAAACTAACTAGTCTGTAATGGGCTTTACTCTTTCCTCTTTCAGTCTTCTAGAACATCATGTACTTTTCAGGAGTTTTCAAAGATAACAAATGGCTATGTGTACCTTTTTCTTTTTTTCTTGTGTCAGCATTAACTTCTAATTTAAATAGATTATTTCTCTCCTGAAACATCTAGAGACAGCAGTCATACATCCTTTCTTAATTTTCTTGTTTTGTTAGACTAAATTAGACAAGTTCTCTTCTAGTCTTCTGTTAGAGGTTGAGCTCTGTTTTCCCTACTAGTCTCTTCTTCATTAGTTCCCATCATTGGCTTATCTTTTCCTGAACATGAGTGATTAGAATTGTATGCAGCACTCCAGATATATCTCATTGTAGTGCCTGGTACAGCAGTTCTCTTTCTTTGGTGGAAGTACTTCTCCTGAGTGATCTCAAGATTGCAGTTGGCTTTTCTTGGCTGCATCAAGTTGGCAGCTCATGCTCATTCCCTGACTTTCAGAACAGAACAATCGGCTTTCACTCACAAGAGAATATGCCTGTTCCTTGTCAGCTGATGTGCTCACATCTTATATTCAACCAATATAAGATTAAACTTTCCTGAGAAGGTAAGGGCTCCTCACACTGGTATCTCAAGAGCACTTGTTGAGTTTATAAGGTAGCTGGCGCTGGTGGTAACAGAAAAGATTACTTGCTGTTTTGTGGAAGAGTTGAGGAGAATATTTTGGAGAAAGTCTTATTTATGGCAGCATCCTCTGTGTGAGTAAATGTGCTAAAATGGTCTTTGTAGGCTTTTTAAATGTCCAATTTAAACTGTTTAAAGAGCCCTAAGTTTTCAGAAGGTTGACACTAAAAATATTTAGCTTTAAAGAGACCACCCGTTTCTCCCACAGCTATGAATATCCTGTGGTTGAAATTTTGACGTTTTGTCACAGGATGAGGGAGACGTCGTGGATCTCAACAGCCTAGGTCTGCCTAATTGATTGATTGCTTTCTGCTATGTTAACTCTTACTTGAGAGAACTCTCTCGTCTGGGCAGATGCTGCAATGTCATGTCCATTGTTCCTGATGTGTAATTCCTCACCCATCTTATTTGCCTTTATGTTTCTGGACTGTCTTTCTTCCATGTGTAGACCATGATATTTTAAAGAACTTCAATTAGTCGTTTCTGTGGTGGGTTATTTTTCTCCGCATTGACTTCTAGACTTAAAAAGTTATTTCATTTATATTCACAAGAAGATTCTTGTAAATTCTAAGATTTGCCTTCAATCTTCTATTGCTGTGCAATAGATAAAGAACTAGGGTTCCCTGCTCTCACCCTAACCTAGAAAGGAGAATACATATAATCATATAGAACACATCTAATTGACTCAGGCCATTACCATCCTTGACGATATTTATCTATTTAATTTATAACAGAGGGGAAATTTTTATTTTCATAAAACCTTTATTTTCTTAAAAAATTCTTCTCCTCTGAAAGGTGCTCACCTATGATGGTGGTAAAGGGGAGTATATAAACCTACATATCATTGAACAGCTTGGCAATGTTTTTCCTGTCCAGTATGAGGTAGTTGCAGGAGACAGATGCTTGGTGTTATTTTGGAGGCTTAAGGATCCAGTTCATCTAGCATTAAAAACAGTTTTTGTTTAGACCTACTTTGTTTGAGCAAGAATTTTGTGTGTTTTTTATTGTTTTAGAGTTTAGGGTTTTTTAACTCCAAGATACCATTAGTCTACATGTAAAGTGTTTTGTATTGTAAGTTATATTACAGTTAATGTACTAATTTTAAAATTTTGTTTAAATACTCATGCTTTGAATAGATGCTACTAAGAGTACTGTGGCTTACAACTAGTGCTTAAATTTAAAACCTTTATAGTGATTAAAGGTAACCTTTTAACTTGGTTATGTCTTTGTACTTTGGAAAAAAACACTTAAATCTCTAACAGTCAAATCTTGCCTTCTTAATGTTTTCAGCATGTACCCTGGAAAAAATCCACCTAATATTTCACACACATTTGAGCTGGAAAACAGATGCTTGTTAAATTCTTTGGCTATGTAAGGAAGCTGTACATGGTTATATAATCTACTTTTAGCCTAAAAATATAGCTTTTTAATCTTAAATGCTTGTATGCTCTAAGCATTAGAATATATTGTTCCAATTTTAGCAATTAATTTGTCTGTGGGTTTATAATTTTCAGAATGAGAGAATGAAACTAATGGTTCAGTTAGAGAATTGTTAAAAAGTTTTGAGTCTAACATAAAAATGTAAGATACGCCTTTCCATGAAATGCTCCAGTGTGTCTGTTTCCAATTGAAGAAGTCCTTTGAAATGACTGCTCTGAGATATTACATGAATATGCAATTCATGTCCCCTTTTTTAAGGGAAACATTGTCTGCAGACATAAGAGTTCTTCCTGTTAGTTGCTTAATATTAAAATGCAGCAAGTATAAGTGTGACAAAACAAATATGATTTTTGTAGCAGGTGTCCTGCATACCTTGGAAAACTTGTGGTTAAAATCTGGGTTTAAATAAAGTCCTTGCTATCAGTACTAATAATAGAACTCTGTACAGTTGACTTTTATAGACAACTCTTAAATGTCGTTGTTTTTAAAATGTTAGTTGCCGTAAAATATATCACAGATATTTTTGTGCTTTATGGTGCCGTATAATTCAGCATTTCATTTCTTTAAAGTGAATCAAACCTTAGTATTTATCAGTCTTTACATAGACATTACCTTGCATTGTGTCAGGCCCTGTGTTCTTGGGTAGGTGGCAAAGTAATGAGAAATTAAATAATATGAATACTTGTACTCATCAGTTAAAACATTTCATTGAAATTAGATTGCTTTAACCTTGTCCTTTTTTCTTCTTAGGACAAAAAACAGTTTTGACAAACGTTCAAGAGGAATTGGATAGGATGACTCGCAAGCCAGACTCTATGGTAACAACAAACTCTCCTCCAACAGAGAATGAAGCTTGATAGCGCATAAAAAAATGCATATGTAAATGACCAAATAACTATGTATATTGATCTGATAAGACCAGGAATTTTCTGCTATGGCAGATGCTATCAGTTTTCTTGGGGCAGGGGAAATGAGCTTACTACATCATTGCCTTGTCCCAGTAAAAAGTGCACATTCAGGAAGTTTGCGTATAAAATCCCTCTGTATAAGATAACCATTTAGAGTTTATATAGGGCAATTCTTTTGGTTTTGGAGGTAAGCAGGTGCAGCTGCATTTCCTGTTGTGAAGAACACAGAGAAGCAAAATGGAGAATTCTTATTAAAATACTACTACTGACTGCACACAAGGCAAGAAAGAGAAATGAAATCCTCTTTCAGAGTTACTGGAATTGGCTACTTGTATGTTTGCAAATGCATTATATTCTTGGAAAGGTGGTGGTGGTGGTGGTGGTGTAACAGAGCATTAATTAGGTGAAAGAAGCCTAGGCAGGGAATGGAGCCCTAAAAGGGCAAACAGATTTGGGACAGTAAGAAACCAGAATGTTGGATTGACTGGAGAGGAGCAATGTTGTTAAACCCTGTGTTTCACATAGGGTAAATAATCACTGTTTTAAAAAGACTACTTTACATTGGAGAATTCCAGGCCAAACACTACGCATCGTGGGAATTTATTCTTGTTATAAATCTTGTTTTAGTTTTTAAAGAAGTCTAAGAGTGTGGGTGCCCTTTCTGGTGTAGCTGACAAAGGGAGAAACTATAACTTGTTTAGATCCAAGTGCCTGGCACAGTGTGTGATGTGTCTTTAGAAGGTGCTTGAACTTATTGTGCACTGTAGTACAAACAGTCACTGTTTGGTTTTATTTTAAAATCAGTAGTTTGGCGATTTGTATTTAATTTTAAATCCTGTTTTCTGATAGCTTCTGCCTTTTTTTATGCCAAGAGGCTAGACTATGAAGAATGGTGGGTGACGTATCATTTTCCCATAATGAAATGTGCTACAAACACTCTCAGTATTTTTTTTTTTCTTACGTCTTGTAACTAAATATTAGCTACCAAGCTAAAATTGATTCCTGCCTTAGACCTGTGGAGGTTTTTAAAAAAAACTTTCAAGGCCCTAGTTCCAACCACATCTGCTGCAGGTGCAGCCAACTCCAATTCTGAAGGTAACCGAAAAAGTATGAATGTGTACATGATGAACATACTCAATAACTTGTTTTGTATTTTCTTTAATGTAGCATTTCATTTGGAAAGATGGGTTGTGGTTGTCCCCGTTGCTCGAACGGAGCTCTGTCCATGGTCACATAAAACCATCATTTTCTAAAAACAAACAAAACTGCTATGGTTACTGAAATGGCACTTTGATTTTATATACGGTATGCTTGTTTTACATGTACACACTACCATAAATTAAAAATACCAAGCATATTCTGTGCTCTTAACGCTGAAGGGAAAAACCACAATTTGAATTATGCAGAGTTTACTTTTTATTGATATGAACTTGTTGTACTAAATCTGATGTCTGGATATAACTTCCCTAATATATATTGTTACTTAAATATACAGAATTAGATTGACCACTAACACAGTACTGGATGTTAACTTCAAATCCTATGTTACAACAAGAGGCTGTTCTTGTAAGTCTGTCTAAACATTATCTAGAAAGCTAAGAGTATTTACTTGCCTCTTTGACAAACATTAACATGAGTATGTTATTTGTGCCAGTTTTTTTTTTGTTGAAAATACTATATTTTTCTTTTTTTTTACTTTTTTTTAATAAACAGTATGACCTGAAGTTACACAGTTGTCTAGGTAACAGTTAGACTAAGACTGTGGATGGCTGATGGGTAATGTGGATGGACTTCCTGGTGTCATGGGTGCCGGCTGCGCGTTACCACACCAGAAGAAGTAATTACACGCTGTCCTCTTGACACTGAGAATTGAGATTGGAGACTAAAACATCAAAAACTCAACAGGAAAATTGAACAAGTGTGTGATCATAATGGGATATAGTTTGAAAACCTCAGTCTGAAACTGCATTTTTTTGTCATCTAACCTGATAAGCACTTTCTCCAGCAATATGGCTAAAACTTAAAATTGAAGTACTTTCCCGTTCTATAAAAAGGTTAAATATACTAAAATTGATCAAAACTGATAATGTATGATAACTTACCAGCTTTGCAGAAAGATGCTTCTGACAAAACAGAAACAAATTTCCGGTTTCTAATTGCAAGTGAATGCTCCTAGTTTATTGAAAGAAAGTTGTAAGTAATGTAGCATCCTGTGGTTGCCAAAGTCTGTCAACTTTGGTGAGCTGCACAGTTGTTATTCTGGTGTCTTCAAGCATTGGAACCAAAGGCCAAATTGCAAACAGCCTTTACATTTTCAAGCGAAACTTCATTTTATTTGCAGATACACTTGTATGGTAGACTGTTTAAACTATTATATGACTATATTTATATGCATTATAGTGACTGCATCTACTGTTCATGTTTAAACTAAGGAAACACGAGATGAAAGCATTCAACTTGAAGCAAATAGAAAAGTTTAAAGATTGGCCCTCCATAAAAATGCTGTGGTTATGCTGCTTGATTTTAAGTTTGCACTTTTTTTATTGGCATTTAAAAAAACTGTTTAAACTGAACAGAATTTCGTATTTTATTTAATTTAACTATGTTGAAAGTGACTGCTCTGTACATCATGAACTTAACAATATACATGCTGTAAATGAAAGTTCACTGTCCTGTATACTAAGTTTATTGGTTTTATTTCCAACTGACAATTAGGACTGCAAATGTATGAAACAAACCTTAGTCCACTTGTATGGCTTTAACCAGGTGCAGTATGCAGTCATGTGGAACCTTGCTTTCTAGTGCTGGCAAAACGAGGACGTCTTTAATTACTGGCTTCAATAAACACGAATCCAGACTGCTTCACGCTGTGCTTTTTTGTTGTTTTTAAGATCCCCCTTCTAGAGCTGCTTCTGTGGGAGCAGAATATTAGTCCGTTCTGTGAAGAGGGGAAATAAGTTGGCTTGTACAGTGGTGTACCTTAATGACGGCTTCCTCCTTGGGAGTTCTTGTACCAGCCTTCGCTAATGCAACTCCTTTCTGGAGTTTAGAGCATGCACCTTGTGTAAGTAAAGCGAAGTTGGTATAGCTACGTTTGCAGAGAGAGGTGTGCTCGCGATAGCCTACACATTAATGGTTATGTCAGCAGAACGGGTTTTGGTGCAAAGTAATGTATTTCATGAGAATGGGGAAACAGTTGTATATTTTCCCAGGTTAAGATGTATACCTTCTAATATATTTTGTGGAATACTGTATCCAGGCAGAGCACTGGTCCTAAATTTGCAGGATTAAAATCCAGGTTATGAGAAGTTTAAGGAGTAAATCACTTGAGTGGTGCAAATTCCTCTTCTCTGCTGATAGCAAAGCTGTATTCTCTCTTCGGTGAGTGTAGCAAGTTCTTCCTAATAAGCATAGAAAGAGTAGACTGATTTAATGAGGATTCTGTTTGTTTACTTCGTTGTTACTTTAATTGGATGCCTGTGTATCCCCTTGCATAGATTGAAGTTCTAGTTATTGTTTCTTGAGTCACCCTGCCTCTGAAATATAAATCCACTAAGCTTTTGGTTTCTAAAATACATAGTTTCTCTAGAAGTGAATCCTTAAGAGGCCATGAAACAATTACCATTTTAGAAATGCTGTAATGCTTTATGTTTTAATGAGTTCATTAATGTAAAGAATTAATTTTAGTCCCTTAAGATGGGATTTAGAAAATACTTTTTTAATATATGAAGATAATTATCTATTGTGTTAATTTGGGAGGAAACTAAATGAAGACTTCATCTTCAGACATGCTGAAGTTGAAAGTGCCTTTCTTCAGAAAGACCATAACAGTGGATTGAAATGGAAGAACACTCTTGTCACTCTTAGGTTTACTTTGCTGCTGTTCAACTGTAATTTGGTTTTTTTGAAAGCAAAATTTCTCCAAATTTAAAAAAAAAAAAAAAGGATAGTAAGGTTTTGGTGTGGAAAACATCTTGCTGGAGGCTCTAAACTACTCTTACAAGATGAATCTTTCACTGCCTGTACTGTTCCAGATGGTGGTCTTAACCTCTCTGGCTTTTCAGCCATGGCAGGATTTTGTTAGGGAATGAACTTCTCAGATAAGAACCTTTGCTTGAGTAAATTTCTGAGTCTTTGTAGTTCAAATATATACAAGGGAAAGGCTGTAGATTAGGTTGTTATCGATGACCTAAACGAGACTCTGGTTGTCTGGGTCTATATGTAGAGCTGCATGGAATATCTAGATAGAATATTTAGTACCAAAACCAGAACTCGTCTGTTATTTGATGTTTTTGATTAAAAGTTAAATAATATATTCATAGGATAGAGGCAGTGTAGTTCCAAAAGCACACTTTTGATGGAGTTCAGTTTCGCCTTCAAGGAAGCATTGATGTAAAACTTCCAACCTGTTCTTCTACAGGCTTCATAATAATTAATTACTTCTTCTCTGATCCACTCAGATTGTGTGGAGAAGATAATGTAAGCACGAATAATTAAGACAGCCAGCAGTCTGAACTAATGCTTTGGGACACCACATGGCTCTGGTTTCACAAACATCTGACATTTCTGCAGTCAAATGTAACTAGTTTATAAACAGCCATTCCATGTAATGGGAGTTGCAGAAGTGCAGGTGAGGGCGGAATCTGATCTAGCACGCTTTCTTTTCTCTGGAAAAGTGAAATGAAGCAAGCTCTGACTTGCATGCGTACATCAATGCCTCTTGAAATTCAGATGCTTAAAAAAAGCTCAAGGAAGTTAATTTTCTCAAGTGAAGCGCTTTACAAGTGGTAGTATAAATGTGGTGTTACAATCCTTCAACATCATGCATGTCTCCATAAATCTTAAGTATAGGGCACCTAATTCTGCTTTAAAATGGCTGAAAAAAAATAAAATTAGTGGTATTAGCACCTTTGGACATTTCTTTTGCCAAATACAGCAATGCACCGAAGAGCATGGTGCTGACATTGTTTAGAAATGACTGATGCAAAAGATTTGACTTGTCAGTGTAAGTTGATATGTAGCACTGTTGCCCTCTGAAATAGCTATGTAATCACTTTGGTTTGTGTTCCAGCATTCGTAGTCACGGATTTCAAGTTACCGGAGGGGTTGTATTGAAACCACGCTAATAGTTACATGCAAGAGGTCTGTAAGATAATGTCATAAACAAGGGGAGCAGTTAATTTTCTCTGTTGCCTTTGCAGACTTTCTCTATGGCAGAATCAACATTGCTAGTTGTAACTTTTTATCTGAAGAAAAAGATCCTTTGACTCCCCTCTGCCTGACAATTAATTATGTTTTGCTGAAGGTTTCTGGAGATGAAATGTTCCAAGTCCAGAAGGTGGCAGACTTGGGATCAGTGCCTGTAGGTAATGCTGCTTAACGTGCCATTGCAAGATAATATATGCATTGCTTGGGATGTTCCCTTAATACTTCTTGTTTGGCAGATATTTTTTTTAAGCTAAGTATCTTCCAAAGAGTGAATTGCTGATTTTTTCCCAAACAAAAGCATTTTCATTCAGTTCTAAGAATTTTGTTAATATGGGTTAAGCTTTTTTTTCTTTCTAATTTTGAGTTGTCTTAATTAAGACACTCTGGTTCCTTTCTTTCAGAACAAAAGCTGAAATAGCAAT